TTCAAATGAAAAAGCACGAAAAATACCATGAAATGTTTATTGAACGGCACACGCAAACAGCATTCCACTCTTCTGTATTCTGTTTATGATTTTTATTGGTTATACGATCTTTTTTTTTCAAATTATCCAATTTTATTTTTTTCACCAAAAATTTTTCAATAATTTTTATTTGATGTTTTTTTTTTTTTTTGTATTTTTTAATTTTCTTTTTTGTGACAATTCAAGGCATGTAAAATTGAGAACGTACTTTTCTACTGATTCTACCTTATTATTGTTTTATTATGGTTATAATTAATATTGAATATACATACTTTTGTATTTATTGAAATTACCTGTTATACTTTAGGAAGCAATAAAATAGGATTCTCTTATGATAAATACATTTCCCACCGAAAGTTAAACGTTCAGATCCATTTTTTACATTTTCTGCAAATAATCGACATTTTTAATGGAACCGCGTGATGAAATATGACATATATAACTTACCAGATCCCTTTTTTATATTTTAATTCGGTTAGAAGTATTTTAATAGGGGGTACAATATTAGCTACTGCTTTCTAAAAAAATAAAATAATTAAAAATTAATTATTTATTTATTGTTTTGAATCAATAAAAACATTACCTTTCATGAACATTTTTTAAATAACTTGGAATTAAACCGTCCATAAAGATCTGAAATGGATTATTTTTAAAATTATTTACATATTAGACTTTGTTTAAAAATAATGGAAATGGAAGACGTTTAGAGTTGTTAACTTATTCCTAAAATAGTATTTTAATGTAAAATATGACAACTTACTTTTTAATTTTATTTATATAATCCTTGAAGATAATTACTTTTTGGTATATATTTAATAAACTTCACCAATTAACAAAACCTTAAATGTTTATTAACAGTTGACTTTTAACACAACACTGTCATATTGTTTTTTATTACTTAAGATTCACAATATATTAATTACACTATTTTTCTATGAAAATTATTCAATAACTCATTTAAGTTTTACAATGAATAATTAAAACTGAACATGACTGGACAAAACACAAAAGATCACTGAACTTAGCAAAATTTCTGCATTATTTATTTTTTTTTCGCGTTCACGCTAAAAAACGGATTATTTATATTTTTTTGTTCTTGCACTCCTCTTACTATCATCCGGAAGTAACCTAAAAGTATACTTCCAGACGGCGAAAACTAGAAATCAATGTATTTTGTTTTTGTAAAATGTGTGCTCTCGTCTGACAATCGTACAGAAGTGACTACAATCCACACTTCCAGATGAATAAAATACAACATTAATGTGAACAGTATTCAAACTGTCTTCCAGAAGTGACATAAACATACAAATAAAGAAGATACAAATTAGGAAACAATGTATTTTGTTATTGTAAAATGCGTGTTCTCACCCAACTCTCATTCAGAAGTCACTAAAACGTATACCTTCAGATGAAAAAAATTCAACAGTCATGGTTTTTTGTTTAAGCAAAATGGATGCACTATTCTAACTATCATCCGGAAGCAACTTAAAAGTATATTTCTAGAAGACGAAAATTCGAAATCAATGTATTTTGTTTTTGTAAAATGTGCGTTCTCGTATGACAATCGTCCAGAAGTGTTTTTGACGTGGCGTCGGGGGTGATGCGCAATCGTTTTGTCTTCTAAATGTTTGAAGGGATATGGGAAATAATTATGTATGTGTGATTGTGTAGCCGTAGGTTTTATGACGGTCTAACAAAGCAAAAGTGGGAAAGTATAGGAAATATATTGTCTACCTTTTTATTTAAATGTGTATGTTTTTTATCTGTAGTTATGTATGTACATATGTATATTGAAGGACATGCAAGAGATCTTTAAATTTTTTTTTTTTTTATTTATTACTGCCGGTTTCTCTAAAAGCGAAAGAACTTTTTCTTTCTTACAAATATATTGAAAACAACAAATAAATTAAAAATTTTATTTTGTTTTCAATATATTTATAAGAAAGAAAATGTTGTTTCGATATTGTGAAACAGGCAGTTAGATTATTGATTGTGAATCAAATGGTTTGGAAAATTTTATTATGATGTACGTATGTATGTATGTATGTATGTATGTATGTATGTATGTATGTATGTATGTATGTATGTATGTATGTATGTATGTATGTATGTATGTATGTACCTATGTATGTATGTACGAAGTGTCTACTACTTTGCAGCAAATAATGTACGTATATATGTATTTGTGTACATAATTTTAATGGGAAACTTATTTGGTTATGTCATATTTATATATAAATTGATTATGCCTTATAAATTTAAATTTATTCCATTTACAAAATTATAAAACTCACGATTAACTCGTTTTGACTCGAATCGCGAGCGAGTTCTATTTTACGCTCTTTAAATTTTCAACTCTCTTCGCGAGTTTAAAAATTGAACTAGCGAGTCGAATAGATTTATTCGCCGGAAAATGAATTATTTAAATCGCTCGAATTAAACTCGCTCGCGAGCGAATTGAATTCGATCGCTATCTGTACCCTCTCACATAAGTATTCGAATTTGGTTGTACTTTGAAAAGAAACATAATTTAATAATATTTTTGTGTGTGAAATGAATAATTAAATTTGTTATATTGTCTAGAGAGTCCTAAGGTATAATATCACACTCTTTAAAATTTGGAAAAATTACATTTCCCTCAATTGATTTAACTTTTTTTAAAAAAAGTCCATAAAGTTGCCTCACAAAAGTATTCGAATTTTTCCTGTATTTCATATATGACCATATTATACGAAACGCAAAAATTATAATCGAGTGGTTTTTTGCTTAAAATTGTGTTAAGGGGTTACTATCGACCGAAATTATATATTTTTGGCCTATTTATTCCACAATTTTGGAGCATTTGTACCATATTTTCATGTAATATCATTTTGACCATATTTGCATTTTTTTTCCTTTTTTTCAGAAATAAACCCAAACTTTAATATTGGGATTTAATAGACCCCTTGAGGTATCTAAAAATAATAATTTTTGTTATAAGGATCTGTACTTAAAAGTTCCAAGATGTATTTTTGGTATCGTTCTTCTGTTTCTAATTGAATTGTATGGATCTTAAGTCCCTTTTCGTACCACTAGGGTCGATATTTTCCGACAAAGTTGGCTAGTATACATTCATGTATGTACATATTAGCACTAATATATTTTAAATTTTCAATACATTATATCGGTATACAACTCCAAAAATTGCCTTAACAAAACGTCATCCTGTACAGTAGATTTGAGTTTTTACTATTCGTAACTTTCACGCTTACGTTGCCCATTACAATAACAATGAATGATCCAAAATTTTGGGTTTATTTTGATCATAGTAATCAATATTTAAACAGATATCGATATTTTTGAGTTAGACCATAATGATGTAGTGGCATGCAGCCTGGAGGTATTGGTATATAAAAATAATGATACTACCATATTGAATGGTGTTTCTTCGAGGCATGTTTTGGAGTTGTACACTTCCCCAATACGTTGAAAACTTAAAATATATAAAAGCTGACATCTAAAAGAATATATACAAGAAAACTTTCCCCGAAAATTTTTGACCCTAGTATTATGAAAATGGACTTAAGTTCCAATATATTGAATTAGCGACAGAATAATGATATCAATAATATAACTTGGATCGTTTAAATACAGATTCTTGTAACAAAAAATACTATTTTTAGATACTCCAAGGGGTCTATTAAATCCCAATATCAAACTTTGGTCTTATCTCTGGAAAAAAAGAAGAGAAAATACTACAAATATTGCCAAAAATCGCCATTTTAATGGTATTACATATGAAGAGGGTACAAATCCTCAAAAATTGTGGACCCAATGGTCCAAAAATATATCAAGCCTAAGGACTGTCTAGACAATATAACAAATTAATGATTTTTTTTTTTTGCACACAAAATATATTATTAAATTTGGTTTCTTTTCATAGTTTACCTAAATTCGAATACTTATGAGAGACACTGTATGTAATGCCATTCTATAAATTTAATTGCCCTACTACAGAAATTGAAAATATCGCCGGGGGTTCATTCCTACATTAGTGTAAGAGCAATAATTTGCGATGCCCCTGCTAGATCATTTATTACCGGTGCATCCAAGTAGCAAAAAAAATCATAGACGTTTTAACATATAGCTCAAAATCAGGAAAAAAAATTACGGATGATGATTTTAATGAGCGAAGATATCCATATCATCAAAACATCAAACACCTATCAATAAAATCCCCATTAGAAACATTAAATATTAGAATGGTGACTCAAGTGCCTCTGGATTGTATGCACTTAATAGATTTGGGTGTTATGCGAAAATGTTTAACAAGAATAACTAATAAAACGTACAATGTGCATAACTTACTGCATCTCAAATCATCTATCGAGCAGGTTGGCGATACTATAAAGGGTTCATCATATACATTTGAAAACTACTTACAAAAACTAAAAAACTTGGATAAAAAACCGACTCAAATTTTGGAACAAATACATAAAAATATCTTAAGAAAAACAATAATCAATCCAAATCCAACTAGCTACTGGAGACATGTCGATAAGGAATATATTTAAAAAAAAAAAAATAAAAATATATTCCTACTCTACGGATTATAACGAAATGGAATTGGTATATGAGAACCCCTGCATTTTTTGCTGTATCACTGTGTTATCTTTTGTTACTCCTTTCAATTGTTGTCAATTTATTTTAAATTTCAAATTTTTTTATTTTAAAATACATAAATCAAGGTTAAATAAACAGCCCACCCACAAAACAAAATAATTTTTGCTGCTAAAAATTTATAAAAAAAAGTAAGTTCTATTTAAATATTACAAATATTACTAAATATTTTCAACTAACTAACAACATATCATAATAATGGCATATTTTTCAAAACATCACAACTGTACTTGCAACTCTACTCTATCATTGGAGAAGAATCTGGATGATGTTAAATGTAACTTTAAAAGTAGAAATAAAATACATATTTTATGGGTAATATTTAACTTATAATTTCAGAATTTGTTCATCAAGAACTAAAGAGTCTATAAGAAAATATTGGTCAACAAATTCACGGGCTTAAACTGTAATAGAAACTCTGGCAGAACAAAAAATAATAATTGGAAGACTTTTGTTAAACAGACAGAAACCGAAGCATTACATATGAAATTTCCTGTGAAAGATGAAAGAGAATTTGTAAGGCTAAATAATAAAATTAATAGCATCAACAAAAGATCATATGTATGTAAGTAGCATTTAAATACAGATTTTAATGCAGTAATTAATTATTAATTAATTAGATGTGGTCAAGCAATTAAAATATATTTTGTGCTAGAATATAATATTGATGGGGTACATGGCAAACGGAGTTTAAAAGGTTTAGATAAATTCTATGATGTTCTTTTAGGTAATTTAAAGTTTTATATAAATATTGTACTTCATTCATTGCAAAATCAATTTATAACACAAATTTAGGACCAGCCGAAGTACAGCTAAGAAAAGCACTACAGCTGCAAAAAAAGTCACTTTAAAATGGTTTCATTAAACAAACAGGTTCACCATTAGTTTTTAAATTTTCATTTTATAATTAAATAACAATGAATTAAAATTTAATTTATAAATTAGTTCATAATATTATAAAGTAGAAAAAACTGTTAATATTCGTTTTAATTTATAATAGTATAAGAATTTTTTAATAAAAATAATGTTTAAAATGAAAATTTTAAAAAAATGTAAAAAATTAATATGAAAAAATAAATCAGTAGTATTAAAAATATATAAGTATTCGTTTTTTTGTTCAAATAGTCATAATTATCATAGATAATAATAACTCTCAATAGTTTAATTTGTGTAGTTTAAACAATGTTTACATTTCACCAGCCAGAACAATAACTCTCTACTTACACTATGTAGAAATTAGAAATTTTTCATACCATTTTTACTATATGTACAATACGAAATATTGTTTATGTTAATGCATTGGGGTAACAAAATGCTGATTTTATCACGACAACTCACAGATAATTTTATTGAAATAATGCTATATTTTATAAAAACAATTAAAATTAAATGCAAATTTTGTAAATAAACACTAATTTCACTAAAACTTATGTTAAAAATCAATTTTAATTGCACAAAAACAAAATTCTAAAGAAATTTTACAATAAAATGACGTTTGTTATCAAGACAACGTTGTCTAAACAATTGTTTAGACAACACTGTCATAACGACGTTATAACGCTAATAAATGCCGCTAATTTTTTATCATGATAACAATTTGATGTTTAGCATAATAAATATTTGTCTAATATAGACATGGGGTAATGGTTAGCGTGTGTGACTACAAAACGTGAGGTTGTGAGATCGAGCCATCAAAAAATATCAATATGAAAACAATTTAAATTAAAAATAATTAATTTACATGGATTTAATAAAAATAAAAAGTTTAAAAAGAATTACAAAATTCAAAAAATAGAATAAAAGAATTAAAAAATAAAAATGTAACAAAATATAAAAAAATAATAAAATATATATATGTATTTTTTATGGAGAATTGGTACTATTGAATTTACTAGTGTATTGTGAGGGAGAAAAGTTTAGCTACATATTATATTCCAAATTACTAATAATATGTTATGTAAAAGCTGCTTCACTACACATTACTTTAGAATTTACTAGTGAATTGTTTTGCAGAAAGTAACAGTTGGCTTTGAACAATACAATATTTAGCTTCAGTGCGCTTTCGATATTACTAGTGACATGTAATGCATAATGTGCCAATCGGCCACCCACAATGACATCCCCATGTTAAATTTAACAGTAAATAACATTGCTAATGGGTTGAAAATTCACTAGTTGTAGTTCTTAGTGTTGATATCGCCTATGTCGAACTAGTTCGTCGTACTGCAGCGTTGTTTACTACTAAAAAATGCTACTCCGCACCTTCAATTTGAAATTAGAAAATTAAAATAAAAAAAGATTTTGATAAAGAAATTATATTAAAATAATTATAAAAAAATAAAAAGTGCGTGTTTGTGTCATAAAAATTATGCCCGAATCGTTTTTTTTTTTTTTTTTTTTTGGGCGAATTTCAGAACTTAAATCTTGAATATTTGTGTGAAAATAAGTGTGAAAAGAGAAAGCTCTTTCAAATACAAATAGATCTAACAATTAAGACATTTTCTTTAATAAATTTCATACGCTTTTCATGACTATGTAAAAATTCGTCTAAAAAATTACGAAATAGTTGATCTTTTGATATATTACATTAATTCTAAGAAGTAAGAATGAATCGTATACCGCATTTACACTACAGCGAAATCTAGTAGATTAGATTTTAAATCTTGCTAAAAATCTAGATCGTTTACACTTCACTTTTTGACATTGGCTAGATTTCATTTTAAAAACAAATACAGCTGAATGAAATTAAAAACAAAACAATTAGGAGGATGTATACTACATCAAATCCGAAGAAATACACCTAGTCCACTATCGGGCCTATCGTTCACTGAATGTATTATTTTTCCATGTTCAGAAACTCAGTTTCCTGGACGTAATTCCTAAGAATCTTCCAATCAGTGTTGGTTAAGAATGTTATTTCCGGAATAACATAACTTCCAAGATACTTGGATCTAACTTCGACGAATGCCTGACAGCGGCAAAGAAAGTGCTCCAGAGTTTCACTGTCCTCTCCACATGCTCTACATTCGTCTGAATCTGCACGTCCAATTTTGTATAGATGTGCACGTAATCCTGTGTGTCCACTCAGAATACGTACCATCATACTAACCTCATACTTGCTCATTTTGATTAGATTTCTCGTCTTGCTTTCATCAGGGTCACCCCATAGAATCTTTGTGGTTCTACCCACCGTTTCATTATTCCAAGAGGCCTTATGGGATTCTCTCATCCATATTTTTAATTCAGTTTTTGTTGCGTCGAATGGTTTTGCGTTTGTCAGGTTAACTACATCGAGCTCCCTTCCCTTTAAAGCTATTACATTCGCCCTTTCGTTGCCGACTACTCCCGAGTGGCCTGGTACCCATATGATGGAAACCTTACCTCTGGGAGAGCGTTCAGTTAAAGCTTTCTTACAATCCAATACGGTCTTAGATTTAATTCTATCACCTGATATCGCCCTAATTGCCTTCTGGCTGTCGGTAAATATTTTAAGCCCTGTGGGCGCCATATTTATTCTACTCCAATTAACACATTCCGTTATTGCTCGTACTTCTGCCTGGAAGCTTGTGTCCCCTAATTTAGAACCATCCGTGTAGCAACGGATTCCTACTGGTATTTGCTCCAATGTTCCGCTTGACCAAGACATTCTATCTGGGATTAGCGTTTCAAAGTTTCCGACATATTCTGTATCTGGTATGCGATCAGGCACGTCCGATGAATATGTATAACCTTCCAATGTGTCCAGTATACATTGATGACGTGCCCTATAACCGTTTTTGGCCAGTTCGCCTAAAGTTTAAATGTTTCAATGGGTGGAATATCTAGCAACGTTTCCAGAGCCTTGGTTGAAGTAGTACACATGGCATCACTTATACCCAAGCAGCATGTACGCTGAACTCCCTGTAGTAGTTTGATATTACACTTTTTGTCCAAAGCAGTCCACCAGATTATTGAAGCATAAGCTAGAATTGGTCTAATTACACTTTTATAAAGCCAATTTGTCATAGTAAGACTAAGACCCCATTTCATGCCTATGGTTCTCCTACATATCGCCCAGCACCGATGTGCCTTGTTGATCCTATCCTCTATGTGGTGTCTCCATTTTAATTTCCGGTCAAGTATTCCTCAAGGCCGCATTCAGAGCCTCCTCAGCTCTTCTACACAAGTAATTTGGATCCTTTCCCTTTAAAAGTATTACGACATCGTCTGCATAGCAGACAGGTCTAAGTCCTTCCTCGGTTAGGGTCCTTAGGAGGCTATTAATCGTTGTAACCCAGAGTAAAGGTGACAAAATGCCACCCTGTGGTATACCGCGAAATACCTTTTTCCTGATAGTTATATCGTACATCTCGCAGGTTATACATCTGTTCCTTAGCAACCGGTCAACATAAAACTGGTCTAGGGATTGGATAAGGGTATCAGTGTGCACGTTATTGAAAGCGCCTTCGATGTCAATGCATACCGCCAGTGTATACAGTTTGCTATCGAAAGATTCACCTATGTAGTGGACGACTTCGTTTAAAGCGGTTTCCACCGATCGTCCCTTTACATAAATATTACCCTTGCATCTTGCCATTTAACTGGGGTATATGCCAATTTTAAGCACGCAGTGAATATCTGTGACAGATGTACGGAAACCAGTCCCGCCTCCATCTGCAAAAGTGCCGGGAAAATGCCATCCGGCCCTGCAGCTTTATAGGGAGTAAAGCTCTTGATTGCCCTTTTAACCATGTCAGATGTAATAACTATTTCCGTCTTCCTCCAATATCGGTTCATCTATGTTATTCGATATACCGGGTGGGAAATAAGAGTCCATTAGGAGTTTCATTGTCTCCTCCATATCCTCAAGCCGTATCATCGATTATAGATTCCGGTTGGACATGAGTTTTATATAGGAATTTTTTATCTTTGATACGTCATTTACGCTATCTACCTGTTCACAGAAAAGTTTCCAGGAGTCTCGTTTGGCTTTTCGAACGAGTTTCTTATATTCACCAAGTTTATTACGATACTCATCCCAGTATACTGCGGTCTTTTTACGCCGTGCCCAGTTAAATAGTTTGCGAAGAGTCTTCCCAAGGTTCCGGATCTTCCCAGTTACCCAGGGTTTTTCCTGGGCAGATCTCCGCTCTCGCAGAGGGCAGCTATCCTCGAACGATTCAACCAGGGCACTTGTGAAAGTTTCCACTTTGGCATCTATGTATATCCTCTTTATTTCGACATTGAAAAGTGTCCTGACCTAAACGGTTCTTTAGTAAGGCCCCGAATATTATCCAATTAGTTTTAGACTTATTCCGAAACTTTATAGGCTTTGGTGGTGGCCTTAGTATTTTGAATCTTATGTACCGATGATCAGAAAAGGAGTGCTCGTCCAAAACTCTCCAATCCTGAATTTCGTTTATAAGCTCTTCTGAACATATAGTTATATCTAATACTTCTTTTCTGATTCTATTGACGAAGGTAGCTTTATTACCTAAGTTCAATGTTATCAAGTCTTTAGTATTAAGGAAATCCATAAGGGCTTGTCCCCTGCGATTGGTGTTTGTACTACCCAAGCTACATGGTGGGAATTGGTATCACAACCAGTTTCATCAGATCCGACGTTGGTGGTAGTGTCGGAGAATCGAAGGGCAGGTAAACAGATGAAAGGAATATGTTGCCACGACCTTGCTTCAGCACCTTTGCATCCGATGTTGATAATCCTGTTGAGAGGAGAAAACATAAGTTCTTGTGACATAAGATACATGTTCTCGGGCGAGACCCTGTATCAGCGTAGAAAAGTTGGAAATTTACTTGATTTAATCCAGAAACCTTGTTGCGAATCGTCCAAGGTACCTGGATTAAAGCTATATGTATTTTACCTGTGTTAATTTTAGCCATCAGAGCGTTGGTAGCTGTCTCGTTCCGATGGAGGTTTATTTGAATAAC